TGGGAGTACTGTGTGAGATCGTCTCAGTGCTGGTGATTGAAGAGGTGAAGCTGGGAGTACTGTGTGAGGTGGTCTCGGTGGTGGGGATTGAAGAGGTGAAGTTGGGAGTACTGGGTGAGGTGATCTCAGTGCTGGTAATTGAAGAGGTGAAATTGGGAGTACTGGGTGAGGTGGTCTCGGTGGTGGGGATTGAAGAGGTAACACTGGGAGTACTGTGTGAAGTTGTCTCGGTGCTGGTGATTGAAGAAATGAAGCTGGGAGTACTGGGTGAGTTGGTCTCGGTGCTGGTGATTGAAGAGGTGAAATTGGGAATACTGGGTGAGGTGGTCTCAGTGCTGTTGATTGAAGAGGTGACGCTGGGAGTGCTGTGTGAGGTGGTCTCGGTGGTAGGGACTGAGGAGGTGAAATTGGGAGTACTGGGTGAAGTGGTCTCAGTGCTGGTGATTGAAGAAGTGAAGCTCGAAGTACTGTGGGATGTGATCTCAATGATGGTGGTGAACAAGTTTGTTGTAGGAGTCGTGGTTGTTTCTGTGGTCCGGAGATAGGAAGAGGTGGGTGGGAGAGTAATGGTGGTGGACAATATACCTGTTGTACTTGTGGAAAAGGTGATTTTGGTCGTCGAGTCTGGGACAGTGCTAGTGGGAAAAGTAGGGTGGGTGATCTCAGATGTAGGCGTAGACCTGGTGACGGTAGTGGGGAGTGTGGTCACCAAGGTAGATGGAGGAGTGGTGTTTGTGGTATGACTGGTGATCGCTTCTGTGCTCGGGACAGGTGTGGAAGATAAAATGCTACTGCTGAGTGTTGATAACATATTAGTGGCTGTGGGCTGAGAGGCCATAGTTGTCACGGAAGCCACTGTCTTTGTGGAAGTGGTTGAGGAAATGATGGGGGTGGTAGAAGTCACTGCTGTTGTGAGGGGCGTAAACATGGGAGTTGGGGACAGGGTTGTATGGACGCTTCCAGTAGACAGGGTTGTCCTTTCTGTGGTTCTAGTTGTAGAGGAGATCGTAGTGTGGAAGGCTGTGTGTGTGGCTGAGACAGAGGAGGAGGGTGACACCGTCACTGTGGGAGTTTCCCTTGCCGTGGTGATAGAGGGAGAAGAGGTCACCGCTGACTTTCCTTCCTCAGTAGTGGTAATAGGGTAAGTGCTGGTGACCGTGGCCACTGGCGTCTGTGTCTCGGAAGTAGGGGTGTAAGAGCTGGTGAAGGCCACCTGCGTCGTGGTCACACAGATGGAGGTGGGGTGGGAGACGGTGATTATAAAGCTCGTTGGATACGCGCACTCAATGGTGGCCGCATAGACCAAGACAGTGGGTGGACTGGTTTCAACCTTGAAGGCAAACTTGGAGGCCGGGGTGGTTGAGGTATTGGAAGTGACTGGAGAACTGAGCAATGTTTCAGGTGTGTCATGGGGGGAGGTAGTGCGAGTCATAGGTGCATTTTCCCTGTGGCCTGGAGTGGGAGAGGCGATCTGGGGAACACCGAGTGGCCGCCCAGCCGTGCCTCTGGAGTGTGGAGAATTGCTGAGCGTGGCATGGGCTGCTTCCGCGGTGGGGAAAGGCACGTGAGAGATGGATGTGGTCGTGGATAAAGGTCCTGCATTGGCGGCAGAGCAGAGGAATCCACTGGTGAACCGGTGGGTCATGCTGTCACATCACACCAAGTAAGCTCCCACTCACCCATTTTCCAGCCAGCATCACAGAGGGCAGGACGTGCCACAGCTCACTCCTGCATGGGAGGCAGCTTGGAGCTGGGCGCTGTGGGATGCTGGAGCTCCCTGCCTGTCAGCTCCCAGGGGAGAAGTGGGGTGTGAGAACCCGCATCCCTCACCTGGCCTTGGCCTTGTCATGGCCAATCCTCCTGTCCTGGGATAGCAGAGCTTGGCAGAGCCTCCCTTCTCTCCCTTCCCTTTACTGGACACACCTGAGCCCCTCCTCCCTCTGCCCCTTTCTCTCCTCCCCCTGCTGCTGCCTGGAGTCCTCCTGTCCTCCCATTAGCCTTCTGCTCCCACCTTTGCTTCTCCCCACACCCTGCTGCTCTCTGGGCTGACGCTCGCTTTCAAAGAGAAAAAGAAAGAACACAACTATTTCCTGAGAGCAGGCGCATCACAGAAACCAGGAGACAGAAAGCTGCACAAAGACCACCAAGGTGGCTCACACCTGTCATCCCAGCGCTTTCTGAGGCTGAGACAGGTGATCACTTGAGGTCAGGAGTTCAAGATCAGTCTGGCCAACATGGTGAAACCCCATCTCTACTAAAATAATAATAATACTAACAAGCCAGATGTGGTGGCGTGCACCTCCTGAGGCAGGAGAATTACTTGAACCCGGAGGCAGAGGCTGCAGGGAGCCATGATTGCACCACTGCACTCCAACACGTGCCACAGAGCAAGACTCCATCTCAGAAACAAAACAAAACTGCACAGAGAACACCAAGGAGAAAAAGAGGCTAAGCTCACATGCTAATGACATCAAAGGGCATGGAGTGAGGACCACACGGAGAGGCAAAGAGACAGGATGGAGAAGGAAACTTCCAGAAAGAGCCACCTTGGTGGTGAAGAGTGAGTTCCAGAGACCTTAAGGCTTAGCGGTGAGTGTTCATCTCAGAAATAGACATATTCTTGGGCCAGGCGTGGTGGCTCACGCCTGTAATCCCAGCACTTTCGGAGACAGAGGCGGGTGGATCATGAGATCAGGAGTTGGAGACCAGCCTGACTAAGATGGTGAAATCCCGTCTCTACTAAAAGTACAAAAATAGCTGGGTGTGGTGACAGGTGCCTGTAATCCCAGCTACTCAGGAGGCTGAGGCAGGAGACTCCCTTGAACCCGAAAGGCGGAGGTTGCCGTGCGCTGAGATTATGCCACTGCACTCCAGCCTGGGTGACAGAGCAAGATTCTGTGTCCAAGAGAAAAGATACATTTTTCTACAACGATTCTGTTTTGGCCATGGGATTCATTAGTTTACAAGCATGAACCCCAGCCTGTGGATTTCAGCCTATTTCACAATGGCGAGACTTTGGATCAGAGATCTGGCTGTCGGGGATGCCGGGGGCAAGCAAGACAGGCAGCCACAGCAGATGGGAAGTGGGAAGTACCCAACCTCCTGACCCTCACCTCGGGCACAGCGCATCTTGTGGCTGAGAGCTGGGGTGTCACGTCCCAGCCTAGCTCGCAGGTGTCAGGGAAGTGGGGTCGGGGGTTATGAGAACCCCCAGGCTACAGTCCTTGGCTCTGGACTTGGTCCTGGAGGGGACTGAGAAGGGGACTCATGGGCCTCTAGGGTGGATGGCCTGGGATCAGGGATCAGAAGAGACACTGGAGGAAGAGAGAAGGGAAGCACAGAGGAGTTGGGGGTGTCCCTGCAGGGCGGAAGAGAGAAGCCCAGGACCCCACGCCGGGTCATCTCGGACGCACCCTTGGAAGTGAAGTGGACTTTAGAAGCTGCCCGCCCCAGCTCTGGTGCCAACAGCTGTCCCCTGACACAGAAGTCTGTCAAGGAGGGGAGGCCAGTGTGGAGGGGGTGCTGGGGCTAGGGGCATGAGGCAGGTGACAAGAAGGAGTCCAGGCAGGAAGGGCACTGCTCTGGGAAGACGTAACTCCCACCTTCCACCCTGCATCTGCGATACAGGTCGGGGCGCAGCCCCTGCAACCTGCCCGGCGCGTGGCGGAGAGTGACAGCGGGGACCCGGCTCCCTTGCTCCTTCCCAACCTGGCTGTTCCCTGCACCTGGCGCTCTGAGAAACCCCTCCTCATCCCCCCGGCCCCCAGGCCATGCCTCGGTTCTCCCTGCACACAGACCTCCAAGCACCCCTCCTTATGCCCCCTCCCCACACCTCAGAGCCACCTGCCTCTCCCCTCCCCTGGAACATCACATCAGGGGCTTCTCTCCAGCCCCCTCCCACCTCTCCCCCTCACCTGTGGCCCCTGGGGAGGCCTTGAGCATCCAGAGGAGGCCAAGGAACCACAGCAGCTGCATGGGCCCAGCGGGCAGGGGGCTGGGGCAGAGCAGGCTCCAGGGCCGGGACAGCGGCAGGGACATGGCCCGAGGTGTGCACAAAATGAAAGTGCTGGTTATCTGTTCCGCTGAGCCTGAGAGTTGAGCACAGCCTCACCTTTGTACCGCCCCACCTCACCCCTCTTCCCCCCTTCTCCCTGCATCCGGACAGACCAACGTCAGTGCTGTGGGAAGCAGAGAATGAGGAAAAAGACAGGACAAGTCCAGGAGGTGTCAGGCAGGGAAAGCTGCTGGTGGCCCAGCCCCACAGCCTGCCTGGCCCACATGGAGCTTCCTGGGAGCTGCCCTCCCTCCCCCACATACCTGGAGGGTACCCTTGATCGAGCGCTTGGACTCTGCAGTCTGGGCCGCCTCCTGCAGCCTCTCCTTAGTTTTAAAACCCAGGTTGGGAAGGAATGAGGAAGCTGGGTCCCCGCTGCACTCTAGCCTGGGCAACAGAGCAAGACTCCATCTCAAAAAAAAAAAAAACTAGTTTGGACCTAGAACACTGCCTTTCCTAGGTAGCAACTATTAGGAAGGTTGAATCTATCCAGTTTGGGCAAAGGTGTGAAGAATAAATGTTCTTACCCAGCTGGTGGGTGTGTAGGTGGGTTGGGTTGCTTTAAAAGGGTAATTTGACACCATGGAATACTATGCAGCCATAAAAAACGATGAGTTCATGTCCTTTGTAGGGACATGGATGAACTTGGAAACCATCATTCTCAGCAAACTGACACAAGAACAGAAAATCAAACACCGCATGTTCTCACTCATAGGTGGGTGTTGAACAATGAGAACACATGGACACAGGGAGGGGAGCATCACACGCTGGGGTCTGTCGGGGGGAAATAGGGGAGGGACAGCAGGGGGTGGGGAGTTGGGGAGGGATAACACGGGGAGAAATGCCAGATATAGGTGAAGGGGAGGAAGGCAGCAAATCACACTGTCACGTGTGTACCTATGCAACCATCTTACATGTTCTTCACATGTACCCCAAAACCTAAAATGCAATAAAAAAGGGGTAAAGCTAAAAATAAAAATAAAAATAAAAATAAAATAAAATAAAAGGGTAATTTGGTGACATCTATTAACATTTTAAATGTGTGCCCTAGGACCCAATAATTTCACCCTCCATCTCTGTGTCCAAGAAGCATTCATGAGGATGTTTATCGACTCTAGATTACGGCAATTTTGATGGAAAGTGGAAACAACCCAGACTGAATTCTTTCAATCCAGAAAGAAGACGGAAGCATCACACTACAGAATACGATGCTCAGGCCGGATGTAGTGGCTCACACCTGTAATCCCAGCACTCTGCAAGGCCGAGGCAGGAGGATCTCTTGAGCCCAGATGTTCCAGGCCAGCCTGGGCAACATGGCAAGATCCCACCTCTACAAAAGAATACACAAAGATTCGCCAAGTGTTATGGTGCGCACCTGTGGCCTCAGCTATTTGGTAGGCTGAGGTGGGAGGATCACCTGAGCCCAAGACGTCAAGGACAAAATGAGCCCTAATAGAACCACTGTACTCCAGCCTGGGCAACAAAGCGAAACCCTATCTCAAAAACAATTATGAATATAAAATTAGGTCAGGGCCAGTTACAGTGGCTCATACCTATAATCCCAGCACTTTGGGAGTCCAAGGTGAGGGGATCACGAGTTCAGGAGTTTGAGACCAGCCTGGCCAATATGGCAAAACCCCATCTCCACTGAAAATACAAAAACTAGCCAGGTGTCATAGTGCACGCCTGTAATCCCAGGTACTCGGAAGGCTGAGGCAGGAGAATTGCTTGAACCCAGGGGGCGAAGGTTGCAGTCAGCCAAGGTCTCACCACTGCACTCTGGCCTAGGTGACAGAGCAAGACTCCATCTCAAAAAATAATAATAAAATAAAATAAAATTAGATCAGATCACACACGGTTGCTCACACCTATAATCCCAACACTTTGGGAGGTCAAGGAAGGAGGATCACTTGAGGCCAGGAGTTCAAGACCAGCCTGGGCAATATAGTGAGACCCATCTGTACNAAAGAAAGAAAGAAAGATCAAAAGAAAAATAGGTCTGACCATCCCTAAGGGAAAGAGCTTTGCAGATAGAAACTGCAGCTCTTCCTCTTCCCAGCAGGCTCAAGGCACAGGATTGCAAAGGCAGCCAGCGAACTCACCAAGGCCAGGCCCGCTGGGAGATCTTCGAGAGGGGCTGTGCCTCTCATGTCTCTTTATCCAGAGTCACTAAAGGGACCCTAAATAAGAGGCAATGTGAATATCCACCAAGCAACACTGTCTGCCCACCGTTCGTGCAGCTCGCTGCACCGAAATCCAGTGAAGACATTATACAGCCCTGGCCTCAGGCGTGTGTGGTCAGGTTGAGGAAGTGGGCAAAGAAACGAAAAGCCAAAACGTCCAAATGAGGTGGAGCTCCGAGCCAGACAATGACACATTGGTGGCAGCTCAGGGGAAGGGCCAACAGGGAGCAGGGCTACTCTTGGGTCTTCCACTTCGATTTCTTAATACATTTGACCAATTTGCCCAGCATGAAGATACTCATTTGCAAAAAGTTTTCTTGTTGTTTTTCAGAGCACTCTCCGTGGAAACAGCTGAAGCCAGGTGATCAAGCACCACAGCCAGGCAAGACGCTGCAAACCAAGCTTGAGTTTCCGGGGGTTTCCAGTCTTTTTTTTTTTTAAGGATCAAACACCATAAAATGACCATCACTGCGCTGGAGACACAGATATAAATGGAGAATGGATCCTTGTTGTAAGTAAATATCACCAGGCTCCTGGGGAGATGGATCCCAGATCCCTCCCCAGCCACTGCCCCTTCTGTCCACCACCCCTCTACTGCCCACACCCTCTTCTGCTCCAGCCCCTCAGCCCCCTAACCTCAGCCTCTGCCCTGCTCCAATGGCTCAGAAATTACCTGAGCCATTTCTACACCTGCAGTGCCCTCTCCATCTTCCTCTTTCTCTCACCCTGTGAAAATCCCACCTGTCCTTTACAATTCTACACCTTCCTCACCTCCTCCAGGAAGTCATGTGCAATCAGGAGGTGACCTCTTCCACTCCTGAAATTTTTTTTGTTTTGTTTTTTGGGGTTTTTCTAGATGGAGTCTCACTCTGTCATCCAGGCTGAAGTGCAGTGAAGCAATCTCGACTCACTGCAACCTCTGCCTCTGGGTTTAAGAGATTCTCTTGCCTCAGCCCAAGTAGCTGGGATTACAGGTGTGTGCCACCATGCCCCGCTAATTTTTTTTTTCTTTTTTTTAGAGATGGGGTTTCACCATGTTGGCCAGGCTGATCTCAAACTCCTGACCTCCAGTGATCCTCCCACCTTGACCTCTCAAAGTGCTAGGATTACATATGTGAGCCACCACACTTGGCCCACTCCTGAAATTAACAGTCCTCATTATAGATATCTCTCCTATGATGCGTACTTATCATTTCCTAGCTGGAAGCACAGTCATTTGAACACCTACCCAGAAGGGAGAGTGAAAGGTGACATCTTTGCATTCTGAACTAGGGCAGTGGCCACTTTGCCTGGGAAAGAGCCTGGGAAGGAGCCCCACCCCACTCAGGGAGGCGACAGATGAACTAAGACCGTGGGAGTCCTCCATCTGCTGTTCCAGAATGCTCCATGCCCACGTTGGGGTCCAGCCTTCACGGGGAAGCTGGAGAAGATAGAAGGGAAAAAAGAGTGTTCTACCGGGGCTGGGAGACGTGTCTATAATGTCAGATGCAGCTGACTGTAGGCTGCCCACACACAACTGAGACCCAGAGGTGGCTCCAGAAATTAATAAGGTTCCAGCTGGAGCTCCAGACAGGCAAAAGGACAGCTGGAGAGAAGGAAGGAGCAGAGCTGTGCAAAGACTATGCTGACAATGGAGGTGTCGGTCCAATTGTCAGTGACACTCGCCATCAGGCCCCTTCCTAGTGACACTGAAATGGGACCCATGGGAAGTCAGTGGGGGGCACTGGCCTCCCTCCAAGGTCACTTTTGTCACAGATACCTGGGACAAGACATGAATCCAGAAACGTACAGGCTGGGACCAGCTCCCAAATGTCAAGGATAAGGGAGGGACGTGTTGAAACAAGGGCTGGGGGCCAGACGCGGTGGCTCACGCTTATAATCCCAGCACTTTGGGAGGCGTAGGCAGGTGGATCACCTGAGACTAGGAGTTTCAGGCCAGCCTGGCCAACATGGTGAAACCCCATCTCTACTAAAAATATTAAAAAATTAGCCGGACGTGGTGGCGCACACCTGTAATTCTAGCTACTCAGGAGGCTGAGGTAGGAGAATCACTGGAACCCAGGAGGCAGAGGTTGCAGTGAGCCAAGATCATGGCATTGCACTCTAGCCTGGGCAACAAGAGCGAAACTCCATCTCAAAAAAAGAGTAAAGTCTCTCAAAGCCAGTGAGGGTTGGTGTAGCAGTCAGGAAGTGTCAGGTTATGCTCCAATAACAAATAGTCCTGGAGGCTCCATGGCTTACAAGAACAAAGGTTTCTTTCTTACTCATGCCACTTGCCCATTTTGACGTCTATGCTCTCATCCATTCTGTCTTCACTCTGGGACCTGGGCTAACCAAACCACCCCCATCTGGGACATTGCCAGGCTCATGGCAGTGGAAGGTGACAGAGGGCAAAACCACCAGCTGGCTCTTAAAGCTTCTTTCCAGAGATGCTATATGTCCCTTCCACTCGCATTTTGTTGGCCAAAGCAAGTCACATCGTCACCCTGGATATAAAATACTCTCAGGGAGAGGCGCTGCCAATCAGACATCAAGTGTGGTATCAGCGAGACAGGGAAAACAAATACTTGTTTTCCCAGGGCAGGAAAGTAAATATTCCCAACAATAACACAACCTACCACAGCTGGGATTCAAGCACGTAATGGTTTATGCAAATCAAGATCCCATCAAGCAGGATCAGACACTGCACTCCAGCCTGGGTGGGCGACAGAGTAAGACTCCATCTCAAAAAATAAAAAAAATAGGCTGGGCGTGGTGGCTGATGCCTGTAATCCCAGCACATTGGGAGACTGAGGCAGGCTGATCACTTGAGGTCAGGAGTTCGAGACCAGCCTGGCCAACATGGTGAAACCACATCTCTACTAAAAATAAAAAATTAGCCAGGTGTGGTGGTGCATGCCTGTAATCCCAGCTACTCGGGAGGCTGAGACAGGAGACTCTTGAAC